GGCAAGCGCTTGGTGAGGGTGATGAAGATGGTGCCCTTCTTGAGGGCCGTGGCCGCGCTGGCCAGCCTCCTCATCAGGGTGTCGTCGAAACAGGTGCTGTTGGCGAACACCACGGTAGCGTCGCTCCAGTCGCACACGTTCATGTCCAGGGCATCTCCGAGGAAGAACTCCACCTCTACAAAAAAAAAAAAACATGCGATAGCCACAAGACACGACAGAATATCGGTGGAATGAGACCATAGATGAACAACGAGCGAGAGGGCACGGCGGACTCAAGCCAGTCTGTCCTCGAATCGACACCTCCTCTTGGGAGCTCTGTCAACGACCAGAGCGAATTTCGGGGGCCACTACACCTTACCAAACAACCGACACCACATATCACATCACGCAAGAGTACATGCGTTTTTCTTGCCCTCACACACCAAGACACAACACCAGAAGACCGCTTTCAGACACCCCGTTTACACGCAAGCGAAATACAACCACGCCGTTTCTTCTTCTTCTTCTCTTTCTCTTTCTCTCGATTGACACAGCATGGGTGGCGTAGACTATTACACCGCTGCAAGCAAAGTATCAAGCAAAGCAACAAGCAATGCAGCCAAGCGGTAAGAACTCGCCCACTCACTCGTTCGCTCCTGCCCGTGGCCGACCCTATCCCGAATTCCCCCGTCCCACGCCTTGAGCAACTCCCGGGAGGTAGAGTACAGCCCTTCCAAAATCTGCACCTCCGCAGACGACAAGCAGGTGTGCACGTAGCAGCAAGAGTTTTCGCAACAATTGGCGGTCGAGCGTGCCTGACTTGGCGTTTACACGAAGCTTGTAACGGACCAAGGCAAAAGCCATCCAAAATTAGTGCCGGTTCGACGTTGATTCGGGATGTCGTGAGTTGGAAACGAAGCGGGTTGCACATGTCCGCGCAGGTATGCACGCGGCGGGAGCATCGTCTGATGGTCTAGCAAGGTCCGGGCCCCTTGTAATTAATGTGACATCGACATCAACCTAATGCTGAACGGGTAAAGACATAACGAAAGCACTCAAGACATGCACCACACTACCTGCTTGCCCTCCCGCGTTGGTCTTTTCGCGTGCTAGAAAAAGACGAAAACACTTATAGGAGGCTTTGTTTCTTCGGAGGACGAGCCTTTCCGCGAGGAGTAGAGAGAACAACCAACCGACGCGATGTTTACCTCTGTTTTCTGCGGGCACGACGTAATCCCAGCTAAAATACTCAGATATTCATGATACTTTCGTATATACCAGTACGTTGCGCACTAGTAGTGCGACGTTCTCTTGCGCAAGGCGGGTGCCCTCTTCGATGCCAACTCTAAACATAATGCTGCTGGTGGGCTACGGCGACTCTTTCCGCCAGCGCGTGCGTCGGCCGTGTAACCGAAACAAAATACGACAAGCGATCAGAGCCCTATATTTTTGTTAATAGTACCCAAACAAGGCGTTGGTGCTGCCAAGCGTCATTGCTACGTACTGTGACACGTGCCGGACGCGATGAGGACCGGTGGGGGGCTCACCTCTATCCCCACCGCCTTGTGAAAGGGATGCAGAATGGCAGCCGCGAAAACCTTTATCCATCGCGAAAAGCGCGACAATCAGCAACAGCAGCAGCAGCAGAAACAAATAGGTTGTGATGATGAAAAAGAACTGGAGCCGGAACGTATCGACCACAAGTCGAGACAGGATCGTTCGAGCCGAAGTCGAGAAGATAAAAGCCAAGTCGCTAAGCTATGCGATGGGGGCGTCATGTGCATGCTGTAGGCGTGTTGGCGGACGGCGCCCGGTATGCGTCCCATTGAAGCGACACTCTGAGAAGAGGGTACCTCTTTTGCTGTTTGGGAGGTATCGGTTGCCCCCCAGCAAACTTTTCGCATTTTCACACCGAAGTGCTTTCGGACTGTGTGTCGTCGTCGTCGTCGTATCAAGGCGGACGGGTCATTTCGTTGGGCATTTGGCAAAAATGCGCAGCTGCCCCAAGAAAACGACACACACCAACAATAGTTTGACCAGAAGACGTATTTTCGTATTTTCACCGGCCAGCAGCCGATTAGCGCGGTCGATGCTACCAACAACAAAGACACACAGGAAAACAAACCATTCAGGAAAACAAACCATTCTCGTGTGGTGCACAAAACGTGAGAGCGCACGGCCGGCAAAACGGTGTCCCGCCCCACACGCACGGCAGTCACACGCACCGGCTTCCCCGTTCCGGACCCGATGTCGTAGAACGCCCCGCCGCTCCCCTCCTGGAGGACCCCCGCCGGCCCGGAGCTGCCCACGCCCGGCAAGCCGTACTTGGTCTTGACTTTGTGCAGCGCCAGCGCCAGCGTCTTGAAGGTTATCTCCCCGTATACCAGGGTGGAGTTGCCGCTCTGGTCCGTTTCGTCCCTTTACGTCAGACGGCCGGCGGAAACAACAAAGAGGGTTGCTGTTTGAATACGACGAATGCCATGCCATGTGAGATATTGAACTGTTACGAACGCCTCGAAGGCGGTGTTCTCCTTCGCACTCAGAGGCTTGGTCATGTGCGCCCCCAGATCAAAACAATGAAGGGACACGCATGCTCATAGGCCCGTCGGAGGCGTCAGAAGCATGAACGTGCGGGAAGCCGTGCCGTAGGTGTGCAAGTACATCCCCACCTGCACTGGAAGAGAAAAGCACAGCACACCGCTGAAGCGAACCTCGTTCTTCAGGAGACGAGAGATTTCCGACTTCGTGACAAAAAAGAGACAAGAGGAGAGACGCGAAAAATAACCGCAAGAAACCCTTCGCTCCGCCCTGGGACACATGCTTTCGACGACGTCACAACAACCTTCAAGAGAGGATACACCAACAACGTCCATGCCATACCTCTTTCATCTCGGAGACGGCTTTCCCGACGCCATCACACAAACTTACAAGATGATGCACACCCGAATCCACGCACCTCTCTGTCTTCGAGATCGCCTTTCCGATGGCGACGGGGTGTGCCTCGAATAGCTTGTCGTACAAGGCCATCTTGCTATCCACCTGCAGAAATCCAACAGCCATTACGCGTTCGGGATAATGGGTGTGGCTTGGAGGTGGAATGTCAACTGGAACGCGTGTGCCGTGGGCAGAAGATCGGCTTCCGCAACCCCAGTTGGTACAACAAAACAAAGCGCTTCTGCCCCGAAGACGACCTTATTGTCCCCCTCCCCTACGCCCAACGGTGCCAACCTCCTGTGAGATCAATGTCTCTTTGGCTCGTGAATATCATACATCGGGCGTGCTTTCCTTCCTTTGTGTAGCGACCATAGTCCTTCTTTCGTTGGTATCTATTTAATACTATTCACGACCACATCAGCAATGAACACAGCCTACGCCCCTCCCGTACCCCACCGCTCAAACGTCTGACCTGGAGACCTTCCATCTGTGCGGTGAGGTCGTCGGTGTCCTCCTTCGGCGTCTCGCGGTACCTCGCCGCTCGTTTCCGCATCTCCTCCATCGCTGCCACGGCACGGTGTCGGCGTTCGTTGGAGGGCATCGACGGCAGCAACGACACCGCCGATGGTGACGGTTTTGGTGTGGGTGTTGGTGTTGGCATCGTCGTCGTCATCGCGACCGAAGGACGAGTTGATTCCGAGGAGGTGCCGTTTGACGATGGTGGTGGCGGTGGAGGGTCAGCCACGACGGTGATGGAACTTTTTAGGGTCAGCGTTGTTGTTGCGTCTTTTTTTTTTCGTTTTTTGTGTTGTTTTTTCGTCACGTCGGCAGAATCGGGACAAGGGGGTGGGTGGGAAGAAGGTGTGATCGGGGGGCAAGGGCATGGATGGAGCACGGGCGGGCGGGGAAGGCGGGGAAGAACCTCGTCTATAGCATAGCTTTATTTTATTTTGCACCTTTCAGCAAGGCACGTCAGATACACGAAGGAAACGAGGGCGGGTGTAGGTCACCTGGGTCGTCGGATTAGTGATGGAGTAGCTTTGTCGACCACCACAAGAAAATGGAACATGAAGAGCACAGGCGAGGGATCGCCGAGCATTTGTTTGCGCACTATCATTAATAGTTCGCCACGAACGGCTGCGGTACTGCTGTACCTAAATAGTCTACACATGTGTAGCAGCGCCATTCGGGGTCCAACATGAGATCTACATTCGGCGGGTGTTCAGGCTTCAGACACGGAAACGGTTACTAGAAAATTCCTTCGGTCAACGGCCTACGCATGCCTACGTTGCTGCAGAATGTCTACGGTGATCGTGGATCTCTCGCTGTGTTCTGTTGACGGCGACGAAAAAGTAAAAATTGCAGTTCGTCGGACTCAATCGGTTTCCACATGAATGCATAACTGCGTACCATCTACAGTACTACAAATTTGAAGCTGGCATTGGCTTAGACCAATGATATTCAACCGCAACCACGTACCGGTGCATAGGGGAAGCAGGCATATCACTCTTCCTGCTGCAAAATGATGGCTTTGGCATTCCTGCAAAGCGCGCTGCGTCGGTCATGGGCGTACGCAACGCTACGTTTCGGATGCTACTGCCTGCTGTCTGACCTTCGGTCGCATCCTCCCGGAGCTTCTCGGCCACTTTCGCAAGGTCTGCCTTTGTCTTGGCTTGCAGCTCTGCCGGAACTGTGTGGTCAGCGGTACCGGCATCGTGAACCGGTGCCTTCTCCTCTAGCTGGCCCTTCCCATCGGTGGCGGCGGGCGGTGTATCCTCGGATCGTGTCGACGCCATTTTCCTCTCAGGAGTTTGTTGCTGCTTGTCAACTAACTGATGCTGTCGTTGCTTGCAACTGGCGCCGCCGCTGGCTGCGCAATGAGAGAAAGCGGCGGGAAAGCTTGTGAGTGCTGTCTACTGCTGAGTCGGTGTCCCTGTCTTTCCACTCACTTCTCTCTTAAGCCGCACTGCGCACAGCGATCAAGTAAGCGGGCCAACATCGCTCGGGAGGGGAACCGGCACGTTCCCAACCAATCTCATCCGCGGGGCCCCGCCACCTCGCGATGTCGGAAGTACAACATGCGACGCTGCGATACTTGTGCGACACGGTGGCACTGCCGACACGTAGCCAAGATGGAGAGGATAGAAGGACAAGTAAATGACGGGGATACTATTCTTATGGACCATAGCGATGGCCGAACGTTTTTCGTGAAGGTGGAATCGGGCAAGTGAGTGTACCACCAAGACAAGGCTGATTGGTGTACATGCAGATCTTCAGCGATTGAGTCTGGGTGCTGTTGTCAGTACTATTTGCTACTGGTACATAGATTGACTATAGATTGTAGGTGCTGTCCCAAGGGTGCATGCCTCTCCCGTATTTCTCATGACCACACCATTCATGCGACGTTCTATGACTTGTGCGAGAGCTGGTGTTTGACAATCCTTGCTGCTGCTCATATGAATGTTTTCAGAAGCGACAATTGCTGTGCCTGGATGCTAAAGGATGGAGTCAAGTTACCATGATCCATTGATTACGTCTTAGCAGCGTGTTAACTGCGGCCTAGCCGCACAGCTCTTGGTCCTGCGCAAGATTTTGGCTGATTATACACGCCCCATGATTCTTATCTGGTGTTCCCGTCGCTCGATCTGTGTGAGCTACCCACTGGTGATTGGTTGGCTGCACCCATTGGGGGGTGACGCGGGACACCACCCCCCACACGCCCCGGGAGAGTCGAAATCTCTCTTCGCTCCCGACGCGAATGCATGCATAGACTTCCCCAACGGCATATTGCGTTTGCAGCAGTACCAGTTGATCAGCTGGTGTCGAGCAACCATCATCCTGTTATGCTCATCCTGAACACTCCATATTTGAGCGTACTTGTCTCGTTGGTTTGAATGTATCTCAAGAAAGGTGGTGTCACACCCCATTTAGTGGTAACCCTCTCTAGCCGGCCTGATATCCATCCTTGTACACTGAACATTCATCTTTCCGCCTACTCACGTGTTATCTCAAATGCCGCCCTTAGCGTGCATGTCACAAACAAAAACAAGACCCCCATGGGCACGCTCCCTTTCTTCATTCTGCGCACACACGGCGTTGCTCGAATCTACGGGTCCCCCCTCTCGCCCCCTCACTTCTGGGAGGATCGGAGATGTATGCATATCCTCTCAAGACCCCCTCCCACTCCCACTTCTTCCCCGCGTGCACGATGTACTACCTCCCCCCTGCTCCCATTCGGGCGGAAGGCGCGTGAACATCGGCAAGACGAGCTGCAAGATGTCCTACCTCCTCAACGCCCCGTACGGCGCGGTGTTCGAGCTGGACGGCAACAGGCTGGTCCGCGTGGACGGAGAGCTTGTAGAAGCGGAGGAGGAGCCTCCCGGTGAGACGAAAAAAAAAGCACCAGCGCACAGGCGTGCCTAAGTACGGGTGCCGTGGCATGCGACAGTACTGCTGTACGCCCGGAGACTGGGAGACGCGCGTGGGGGAGGGAGGGACGGGGGGCGATATTATTCAGCACTTGCCCATCGCTAGCTGTAAGTCTGATGCTGTGCATCCGCTCCCTGATGGTCGATGGAGGGGGTGTCGAAGATTCTTATTATATCCTTATTATTCAGCACTTGCCCGTTGCTAGCTGTAAGTTTGATGCTGTGCATCCGCTCCCTGATGGTCGATGGAGGGGGTGTCGAAGATTCTTATTATATCCTTATTATTCAGCACTTGCCCGTTGCTAGCTGTAAGTTTGATGCTGTGCATCCGCTCCCTGATGGTCGATGGAGGGGGTGTCGAAGATTCTTATTATATCCTTATTATTCAGCACTTGCCCGTTGCTAGCTGTAAGTTTGATGCTGTGCATCCGCTCCCTGATGGTCGATGGAGGGGGTGTCGAAGATTCTTATTATATCCTTGGTCGGATTGTTTTTTGTTCACTTGTTTTAAGGGTAGCTGTATCCGTGTTCGCGTGTGGCTAAGGGAAGACGGAGGGGCTTGGTACTGGGCCCAAGCTGGGGGAGTGGACTTGTTTGGTTGGTGTTGTGATGACGTGCAGACGCAAGCCAGCTTTACCGGGGGACGGGGAGATAGTGGATGCTTGACAGCAGTAGGAGCAGCAGAAGGGGCATTTGTTCAACGGGGGCGCCAATGTTTTTCATTGGGTGCATCGATGGCTCTTCCTCTCCCCCTCCCCCTCCCTGTGCTTGGGTACAAAAAAGTGGGTTGAAGGGCGGGAATGTGATATCGACAGGATACATGGGACACGGACAGCGTTTTCTAGCCACCTTAGGCAAAGTGTGAACGAACGGTTGGCCATCGGTGATCGGTCCTGTTGAAACAATTCTCCGTTCTCTCGAGGACGCGTGGTCAATGGCCTAACAACGAAGGAATGCAAAACATTAATACGCCCCCCCCCCCCCCCCCCCCCCCCCCCCCCC